CTGTGGCCATCCAGCCAGTTCTTTATCCACATGGGATACACAATGGTATCGATGGGGTTCAAATGGACAGAATTGTTCCAAGAAGCTGCTTGTACTCTATGGCACAAGAATCAGAAGTCTCTGATTGTTTCTTGAGTCTCTGAAACAAAGCCTCTATGCATGTCTTGCTTTTCCCTATGACTTAGAATATATTGATCCAGTGAGAAAATCTGCAATGTTTGTCAGGACTTGGATTTGCTAAGAATATGGACTTATTTCTACTTATGGCCCAGGGAGTTAAATTGTGCATTCACCTTTTGAGACCCAAGGAATGAGATTATCTTATTCAGCATATATATATTGATGTAGTCCCCGATAAACAAAGAAAAGTAGTTACACTTATCAAATATCTGGGATTTCCCTAGAGAAAGAAACCTGTCAAATGACCTCAAAGAGAAACCACAATGCATTTCAAGGCATTAACTTTTCTCCCGAAATTCCCTTGCAAAACCATGTATTACATAGTCCTTTCAGAAATTCACTTTTTTTTCTTTATATTTGTACCACGTAGTGCAGAGCTGAAACTTCCGAATTGCATTACTGAACATTGGTTGACCAAGCGTATCCACAAACCTACTCATTTCTGAGTTTCAGCTTCATTCTGCGATAATACCATGCCACAGCCAACAGCAATCTCTACTTTGAAATAAAGGGAACTAACTCATATAGTAATAGTAGTGGGTTTGGGCATGCTAAGTTGACTGTAAAAATTCACCTCAAACACAGAGTAAATCAAGGAGTGTTTTGCACTGTAAATTTCTTAGTTTATGTTAATGTCTATTACTAAGTGATGAAACAGCCTACTTCTTTATTAGGTACTTAATTTCATGTTCTATTTAAAATATGATGGAAATTTTTTTTAAACAGCTCTACAAGAATTTTCCCATCACTTTCCACTTCACCAAACAACACTACCACAAATGTCACGTTACTGCTGATCTTACAGAGTAAATGTTATTTAATCTGTAAGTATTCCAAAGGAAACGTTGCTATTTTATTTGAAGGGGGTTTCAAGGTATTTTTGCAAGCAAGCCCATTGCCACTGGGTAAAAAAGAGCATAGGAAGATCTGGCAAGTTTTACACAAAACCCAAGATTCCTAGAAGAGAACAGATTTATCTAAGAAAAGAGCAAACTACACAAAAACATAAACAAATGTTTACTTAACACCTCACCCCTTAAATTAGAAATTCATATAACTTACCTCGATCTGCATCTTTAGATGAGTCTTAAAGTTCGAGAGGAGGGTAAGAAATATGGAAAGTGAAAGTTCAAAAACTTCTGGAACTGACGAGACTCCGTTTTTTGACAGTGCAACACAAAGGTACTGCTTAATAGCATTAATAAACATCTCATTTGTCCTGAAGACAGGTCCTGCATTTTGCAGAATTGACAGAAGCAACTGCAATGAAAGAATCTTTGATCGCAGTTCATGAGATCTAGAATAAAACAATGCAGCATATATCAGCTCAGTGGAAGCCATAAAAAAATAAAACATTCTCTTGAAAGGTCAGTACACACATGTATGTGGAAAGTTAATGAAATAAAGCTGACACAACCTGGTGTGGAAAGAGTCATAAAAAGATGTTGATCTTTTTTGTTGAAGTGGTCACTCGTCAGCCAAGAAGGTGGGCAAGAATAACCTTTTGCAGTTACGGTTTCTCTCTATTACTACTGAACCACTCCTCTGCAAGACACCACTGCAGAACACCAGCAACAGCAGGCAATGCTGTCTATCTTAGCCAGAGGATGAAGGGAGCAGTCTTTCCTTTGAATGTTTTTTTTCTGGAAGAATCCATCTAAAATATCCAGTCCGCATACAGAACTTTTGAGTACCAAAAGGTGAAAATTCCTCCTTCTCCTCTGTTTCCACCAGCCTGGAAAGAGAGCTGAAGGATCATAAAGACAACAGCTGCACTGCTTGACCTACTTGCTACCAAAATGGAAATATTTTTCTCAAATACTGTATTTTGTATTATTTATTAGCCACTGTTCCCATCACACTCTAAGAGCAGATAAGATACATAACTTGCCCCATTTAAGGTGGCAATAGCAAAGTCAGGCAACTGTAGCATTGTCAAGGGCTCCACAGTAACGTCATGCTTCTTACAGACTGAGATAAGCTAGAACTCACGTCAAACAGAAGAGTGCTACTATTTATGCTTTAAAAAAACAAAACAAAAAACAAACCAGCCCTCAAAACCTCCAAACCACACACACACAAAAGTGTAAAGGAAATCTGTATCTATAAAAATACAATTAGTTTAAATAGCACTCTGGGTGAATGCATCCTCTCCTGATGCTCCTTCCCACTTGTGATAATCTGAAAAAAGACTACAGCTCTTCTGAGGAGCAGGTACAGACACAAATGGTTTTTCCCAACAAGACAGTCCACAGTTTTCACAGAACAACCACCCACTGACAGAAGGACAGTTATGAAACAGAAGGAACAATGACAGGAAACTTTTCAGAGTACAGCCCAGACATGGTAGGGACCACTTCAATATTTGCTGTATGTTGCAAAAATACAAGCTTAACAACAGGAATTCCAGTAGCAAGTCTGTTGCAAATAAACTCCATGCTTTCTGGATGCTGGCAAACAAAAGGGGTATTTAGGGGGAAAATCAATCTGCAAACATTTCAAACTCATAGAATATAATCCCAAATTTAGACTTGTCTGAAGAGACTTTTGAGAAGAAAAACACTGGCAGTCAAATTAAGTGAGGAATTTGTTCCTCACATTCCTCTTAATGGGCTGTAGGTCAAAGTAAACTCCCCAAACCAGCTCTCCTTAGGAGTTCTTCAAGAAAATGCCTGGCTCTGGACACTGCACAGCTGCATGGAACCTAGCATAACAATCTCCTTTGATGCAAAAGGCCTGATTTTTGCATCGCATTGTACCAAGTATGAAGGCAGCACATGACCAGACCATACTTTGCTATGAAACAAAAGAATTTCAATATGAATTTCAATGATAAACATAGATAATATCTACTTCCAGCAAGAGTCAGTTCAGAACTGAAGTCCCAACTTGCTGGCCTTACCAGCATTCTGTATGATGTGTAAAGCCCACTTAATCTAGTAAGTGAACCTTCAAGACATTTCTCCCCCATTTATTTCATTCCATGGAAAATGGAGATAAAGACATTAAGACATTAACCAGGTTCCCATGAACATAAACTTGATCTCAGCTCCCAGCCATGTGATTTTAAGCTAAAGTCAGTGTCCAGTTAGCTAAACTTAAAATATTTTAATTATAGACTTCACAGTTACTTTCACCAGAAAGATGCTTTTTAAAGAGGCAGATAAGACTTTTTTAAATGCTGTAGATACCCTACGCTTCCTCTTCCAATTACAGCATGTTAATAGTTCAAAAAGCCATCAATGCCTCACAACCACTGATAAATTCTAGGCACTTCTCCAAACACAGGACATCTTCAAATGCCTCTGCAGCTAATTCTTGTTGCCCTAAATGCCATTTCCTCCAATTTATTCTACATGAAGAGCTTAATCAGTTCCAATACAAACGTCAAGGACTCCATGGATTCAGATGAGATTCTCCAAGTGCCTCAATAGCTATCGCTGCTCTTTCCAGAGGGTGTTAACCCATTACAGCCTTTAATAAACAGACAGTGTTAGGCTCAGACAACTGACTAAAACCACAGGATTTTCATAGCATTTCCTGGAAGACAGATTCTCAAAAAGTGAGGAAAAACCTCATGCCTCAGTCTTCATTCTCTGATGTCCTGACTTTTGGTAGTGTATCACTAGATAACAATTTGAAAATGGTCCTAGACCAACCCTTCAAAATCCCTTCTACCACATCATTTTTTTTTTCCAGCTTATCAAATCCACAACACGTATCAGTGATAAAATTAAACTGTCTTAAAGTTACCTGTTTTAAAAGTTAGACCTTGGAACAGTAAAGATGATTTAATTTGAAAAATACTGGGCCTTCATGAGAAATCATACCATAGTTTTAACATCATATGAACAAAAAAGCAATCCTCTTGAAAATTACTATTACTTGTTTCTAACATGCAAAAAAACATGCATATAAATTCTATTCAAAATCACAAAAAGCAAAGTTCTTTGCCAACACTCACAACTAATATTGGCACCCATCTATAGAGGAGTGTATTCGTTTGTTTACAGCAAAGCCAAATTGAAAACACAGTATCTTCAATCAGAGGACAAGATTTCCAAAATAGCCAAACAAAAGCTTTGTTTCAAAACATTTGTTTGTTTTTTTTTTTATTAAGGATGCTGTTAAAATAGTCCAACCTGAGCAGAAGAATGGAACACTGTATCATGAATTTATCATAATCAGTATCAGGTCAAGGTGAGGTGCATATATCAAGGAGAAGTAGAATTGGGTATGTGTACTGGATACCCAGTATGCAAGACATGTAAGAAACTGTCTGCATAAACAGAACCTAGGTATTCCTTAAAAGCAGAGCAACATGAGCTGAGACCAAAAATACCTGAAGACTTTCTTTACTGACCCTTCTGGGAAGGGTATTATAAAGAGCATCCAGTAAGAATATCATCTACTTACAAGAAGCACAGACTTTAACAAACTTCAAAACAGACAGACGGGTAGCAGCAACTGCTTTCATTTGACATACAAAAGATGCATTAGAGCATAACAGTACCTTTTCTAAGTTCATTTTACTGTATCATTATTTTCTCAATAACTGAGGACTCTCAAAAAGTATATAAAGAACTTATTTTTATTTCCAAACAGAGAACTCTCAGTTGTACTTACTTTGGATCTGGTGGTCCATCTGACAGGGGCTTCATGGAGAGTTTGCAAAGTGACCTGAATACAAGGAAGGCATCCTTTTGTAAAATGTGGGAAAACTTAGCACCAGGGGTAGGTCCTGAAGAATTTCCAGATTCCTAAAGAAGTTAACATATTTCAGTATT